GGGGGGGGGGGGACCAGACTGGCCCTTAAATGCCTGGGCAATGCTTTGAAGATGTCAGTATTAAAGACCAGTGTCCCGAATCCCACACTACTGTGCTGGGATTGAGTCAGGCCTCCTATGCACAGCAAAATCAGAGCTGGAAGCCCGACGGGTCTTGAACCGCCTTCCTTTAAATGCTAAGTGGCATTTAGAGAGAGCCTCGTGGCTGACGGCTGTAGCAGCCTTTCCTGAATGGCAATGCCTGGGAGCCCCCAGTGCAAAACCAGCCCCTGCCAGGGCCCTGATCCCATGATGACCCTTCAGGACTTTGCCCTGTTTCCTGAAGCCCCTGCAAGGGTCTGTCTACAGCGAGCACAGGCAGGATCGGGGCCTGAGAGACTCGACACCGCTCGGCCTTCTGGACAGCGATGCAAGTTTCTCCGCCGCATTATGAAAATGCCTGTGTTTTTTAGTAGGGGTTATATATTCGTCAGTATAGAGACTATACAGATGCAGCGTGCCAGTCAATGATCCTAGGTGTGTACATTCATATACACGTCCTCTGTGTATATGGATATGTGAGATGTTGTGTGCAGGTGGTGCAGATGTATGTACACATCTTACCTTGCCTGCTGCATAGCCATGTGCTGTCCGTAGCGACTATCTGCTGAAGGTGTTTTCCTGGTGCCTGTCCTGTTTGCATGCTCCTGGGTTGTGGCACTCAAGCTCCTTCTTCATCCGCAGCAATTTCTTGTATTAAGAGGCCTCACCTTGACATAGACCCGAGCCGCGCGCTGTGAAGCATGGCTGAGCGGGTCTCCGTTCTCACGATTTCTCTCTCTCTCTAGCAGCACGGAGGGCCAGACAGTGGCCCGATGGTTGTGGTTTTTAAGGGGCGAGGGGTGTGGGAGTGGAGAGTCGAGAAACGCTGTCTGGGAGGTTTCTAGATCAGCAGGACCCGGGTGTAGTTGTGGTGGGTTGCAAGGAGCATGCTCTTGTCAGGTTTCAAAGTGGCATTTTTTTAGTGCACGAACCAGCCATGGCAATCCTCGGGAACCGCTGTTAGCAGATGATACCCTTCGGAGAAAACTCCTCCTTTCAGAAATTACAACCCAAGCAAACCTTCTTTCTTAGCTCAGCTGCAAACCGAATAGGCTCTTGTTGAATCAGAGGCTTCCCTGGTAGTTTTTCCATTCCTCTTCTCTATCTGGAAGATTAAACAGGAGTCTCATTCCTCCTGGACCAGCCAGGAGCTGGTGTAAATCAGCCTAGATCTGAGGAAGGCCTGGTAGCTGTGTCCATCCATACTGGCTAGCTGAGCCCCTGGCCTAGTGCTCCCTTGGGCCTAGTGCTCCCTTGAGCTTTTATAATGTCTTAGCAATCTGTGGCTCCTGTACAGTCAACCAAATTTTGCCAAAAGCTTCAGTTTGCTCCCATGGACTTCCCCAGGGCGTCCGCCTGGGAGCAGAGGGAAGGCGAGCGGGGATTTATCTCAGCGCAACCTGGAATAGGGAGATCCAGGAAAAGGAGGAGCAGCAGTCGAGGTGCCTGACCATGATTTCTGTCTGGGAGGGTAGCTGGTATCAAGGGGGCAGTTGTTCTCCCATCTCTGGACATGCCCATGCGCACGCAAAGGTGTGTGCACACGCTCCTGCCCCCTCTACTCTCTAACTCTCCGCCCGGGGCGGCTCTTGTGTTGCAGCCTGCAGATGCCGCTTCCGGCGGATCCGAAGCAGCTGGGACAGCAGGAGCGGCAGCGGGAGCCGAAGCACCTAAAACTGAAGCTGACTCAGGATCTGGCTCTGTAAGAACCCAGGGGAGGCAGGGTCCCTGCCCCCAGGGCCCCTCTCCTGGGCAAAGTGATCAGGCCTGGCCCCTCTGCATGCAGACGGTGTCCGTGGCGGTCCCCATCCCCAAAGGAGTTATGCAGGGTTGCCCTGTGTGTGCTTTGCACACTCAAGCCAAGACTTTGATGATCCCCAGGGAGTCCTAGAGAAGAGGGCTGGAAGGCACCTCCAGACGTCTTCTTGTCCTACCCCCGTCTTCGTGACAAGATCCAGACACGGAAACATCCTGCTCCTTTGACCCTCTCCCTCATGCCTGGGAGAGTCACGCTCAGCTTAATTTAGGGTCGAATGCTGCCCCCTCCCCACACCAGACTCCTGCTCTGACACTGATTTCCTTTATGGCCTTGAGAGAGCCTCTTAATTTCTGCTGCCTCAACTTGGGCACTGCACGACTTGCCCAGGGCCACTGCGGTGATTGCTGGGAAGGTGAGGAGTATTGCTCCCCCCAGGAAATACGTCACCTGGCTGAATGCATCAGCCACATCGCCCGGAAGAAGTCAGGACCTTCTCCCTTCCTCAGACTAGAGACAGTCGCTGCCCCCACAATAACTGCTCACTGCAAACCCTGGTCTCTCCTTGGTTTCTGCCCGTTTCTCTGCTTGCCCGTTTATTCCAGTGCGGTGAGTTATGGCTGTCAGCTGCCTTTGACTCGCAGCCTGGGAAACCCCACTGCCAATCTGTGGGTGCCCAGGGCAGGGATAAATGCTTGTAAACGTGTGTCTGTTCCTTTCTCAACGTGGCTTTGCTCTCCACAGGGCTCTCTGCCTGCTGTAGTTGTGGAAACTTTCCCAGCCACTGTCAATGGGACCGTGGAAAGCAGCGGTGCCTCTGAAAGGGCCGACATGCCACCGGGCTTCCTTTTCAAGGTGAACACTTGTCTGTGGGGGTGGCCAGGAGGGTGAGGCAGAGGCTGCTTTGGCGAGGCCACAGTGCTGAGCACGTGCCCCAGGGCAAATCGCAGGAGGCGTTTGTGCTGTGCACGGCCGTGTTGCAGCTTGCAGGTGGAGGCTGAGGGGAAGGAGAAGCCACCCATACTGTAGGCAGCCCCAGGAACTGGATTGCAGCTAGTCCAGGAACCTGCCTTGAGGAACGGTCCACGTCTACGGCTTCAGCAGAAAGGGCCCCATTGACATGAGCCCTTGGAGGGGTAAAAAGAGAGTACAATGAAATACAGCACTTGCTCTCTGCTGTCTCTGCTCCAATATCTCCTGTACTTTCTGTAGTAGCTCCTGTCAGCCTGATGGGGCCCGTACTGCCATAGGAGAATGAGCTTAACGGCATCTGGGGCTGCATTGATAGGAGCGTCAGCAGCAGATGGAGGGCAGTGATCCTTCCCCTGTAGTCAGCGCTGGGAAGTCCTGTGTCCAGTTCTGGGTCCTTCACTACAGAAAGGATGGGGACAAATTGGAGAGAGTCCAGTGGAGGAGAACAAAAATGGTGAGGGAACTGGGGGACAGGACTGGTGAGGAGAGGCTGCAGAAACTGGGCTGATTGAGTCTGCAGAAGAGAAGACCGAGGGGGATTGAATTGCAGCCTTCGGCTCCCTGCAGGGGGGCTGCAAAGAGGACGGAGCTGGACTGGTCTCAGTCGGGCAGATGACAGGACAAGGAGCAATGGGCTCAAGCTGCAGCAAGGGAAGTTGAGGTTGGATTTAAGGAAGAATTTTCTCACCAGGAGGGCGGTGAAGCACTGGACCAGGTTCCCCAGAGAGGTGGTGGCGTCTCCATCCTGGGAGGTTTTGAAAACCTGGGTAGACAAAGCCTTGTCTGGGATGATGTAGTTGGGGCTGCTCCTGCTTGCAGCAGGGGGTTGGACTAGGTGTGACCTCTGCAGGTCCCTTCAACCTGAATTTTCTGTGAGTCTGAGCTGGGTTCTCTTCTTCCTTCTGCATTAGCAATGGTCATGGTTGGCTACGGTCTCTGCCAGCTTCACACGCTGGATAGGACACAAGACCCAGAGCCTGTCTTTGCTCTTAGCAAAGGTAAACTCTTCAGGGCAACATGCAGGTAATTTTGGCAAGTGACAGTGAATGAGGAAGCAGTGGGAACACTAAGAAGAATGGGAAGCCATGGGACCTAGAGATTAGAAACCAGGGCAGGAAAAAGCAAAAGCCCTCTGGGGAGAAATAATGCAAACTGTGGAGAATGGCAGTGGCGAACCCAGCTAGGAAGAGGGAGGAAGGAGGTGGGTGCTGTGGGAGAGACTGTGGTTGGGAGAGGACAGTAGATTTGATGTGTGGAAACCAGCAGCCAGACCATGAAGATCTTTCTGAACAGATGTAGCATGTTGAAGACCAAGGCTACCTTTGGAGCTGAGCATTGCCCCTTGCATTTCCTGTTTGTTAGATAAAATGGGTGCAGAGCAGTGCCAGGGGGAAGTTTGAGAGGAAGGAGCATGCTGGGACCCCGGGCTTGATCCCTTCACACAAGTGCACCCCCTCCAGCTTGTTTATGGTCTTCCTCCTGGCCTTCTATATCTCCTTTTCTTGGCTGTGCAGGATGCCAGCTTCAGAAGGAGGGCAGGTGCATGGGTACAGAGCCCTGTACTTGCCTGGTGAATATGCGGCCTCCTGCACGTGCTCCATGCCTGCGTGGACACTTGGATATCCACACTGCTTGTGAAGCCGGATCACAAGCTGTGTGCAAGTGTTGCGGCCAGCTGTTGGGGTGCGCAGAGTGAAGTGGGATTGCGCCCTAACTCCTGAAAACAAAGCCCTGTCTTCAGGCTTGCTCTCTTGGGTGTGCTGATTGGTGCTCTGCAGGGTCTGCATTGCCTGATCTCCAGGGACTTGTTGGTGATGGGCCTATGCATGGCTGGGAGACCATAGAGGAAGGGACCTCAGGAGGCTGTCTAGTCCAACCCCCAGCTCAGAGTGGGATCACCCCTACATAAGCCATCCCAGAATGCAGCAGCCTGGCTGTCTGATTCAGATGGCAGCTATTGCTCTTGGTCACTGAGCAGAAGAGTATGCAGGTGTATGCAAAAGAGAAAGTTTTGCCTTGCAGGGAGCTCGTTGATTCAGCAGGTGCCCACCAGACAGGGCTGCTGGCTTGGTGCACCATGCTTGGTGAAGCCCCTCACCCCTGTGCTCAGTGGGGTGCTCCACCTGACCCTGGCAGCGTTTCCTGGACTGGGTGAATCTCATTTCCCGCTGATTTAGTGACTGTCTTGGAGGGAATGTGCTGAGAAACACAGCCCATTGGAAAGCCAGGACTTGGGAAAATAAGGCAGTCTCTGGCTTGCAAAACGCAGAGCTGGATTTTGCACTCCTCGGAGGGCAGATCTGGGGGCTAGAGATGGTACCATAACAGGACCCTGCTGGGAGGAGAGGAGCTTGGGGCAGATGGCACGTGCCTCCGAGTTGGAAGGTCTTTGGCACGGGGGTTTAGTTCAGACACAGCTTGGGGTAAAGTGTCAGTGCCCTGAGCTAGCATGGGAACAGCAGGGCACTGTGTGCACCCTAGATGGGCGCTGGCAAGCTCCACAAACCCTCAGCCTCTGTGTGATTTGGGAGCAAGAACAGCTGCTCAGAGGCTTGGATGCAGTTGACCCAGTTCACACTCGCGCCTCACCTGGAGAACTCAGCTGGACACCCGAGTCCAGAGACCAAAGCCTGCTTGCTGCTGAGCTGCTGGGTCGAGGCACCTCCTTCCAGGGGAAGCAGAACAGATCTCCGTGAGGGATAGACAGGAGAGGGGGCCCAGCCCCTTGGATGCAGCCAGCCAGAACGACCTGAAACCACAGGGGTTTACGGGTTCAGTGGGATTTCGTCGGGTCTTGGAGACCCAGGCAGATGCTGGCACCTTCTGCTCACCAGAACCGCCGTCTCTCTGCAGGTCCAGGCCATGCACGACTACACGGCCACGGACAGCGACGAGCTGCAGTTGAAGGCAGGTGACGTTGTGCTCGTGATTCCCTTTGAGAACCCCGAGGAGCAGGTGAGGGGCGCGCGGGGCAGGGCAGGCACCTGCTGCTTCTGCTTCCCCTCTGCGAGCCGTGCTGTTCTCGAGCTGTTTCGTGATGGTGGGAGGGGGCCCGGCATGCACGCGCGGGGTGGAGGGGTGAGCCTGGCTAATGGTATACAGGGTGGGGTGCAGGGTGGGGACCTCAACGATCCCTTTCTTCCTCCCTCCAACGGCCTTTGCATATCCAGGGTTTCCTCCCCCTGGCAGAGCCGCAGGAACCGATTGGGACAGGTCCTTGCATAGCCAGCAAGGAGGCACAACTGATTGCAAGATCGACCCTCCTCTCCCCTTAATTTTTAATCCCATCCACTGTCCCTAGCTTTTGATGCAGCAGGGCACAGGCTGTAGCTCTGGATCTGTTGGCAAATCCTCCTTCTGTATGTGGACCCCCAGCTGAACCGGCTGTTTATTATGAACATCCTGTCCCACCGGACGGCAGCCTATTCGGTGATGCTCTAATGCAGCTGGCCAGCAGGCGGCAATGTCCTCCCAGGCTAAACTGAGATGCTCCGTGTCATGCACAACCTCAGATGAGAGGTTTCTGACTCCGCTGCATCCCCCAGCTGTTTATTATAAAAGCTTTGGCTGAAACTTCCTCAGCTCAGGACTCTCTGCTAATGCAACCAGCCAGCCTGCACTTTCTAGGCGAGTCCTTGAATTGCAAGGTTTTGTCCCATATTTAGAGAATTGCTGCCAAGGGGATGAAACCTTCCCTTCCCCTCCCCTGCGTGCTCCCACCAGATTGTCTGGTGCGGCGTCTGCTTGCAAGACAGCATAGATGTGCCCCGGCGATGCAGTGTGAGCTCAGGCGTGCAGACTCCCTGGCTGCACTGATCCACCTGCTTGCCCCACTGCACACAGCTGGCTGCACTGTGCTACTGATGGTTCCCGGGGTCTGTGGTGGGTCTCGGCATGTGGAGTGTCTGGATTTGGGCTCCCAAGAGGTTGGTGGCTTTGGACAGTGCAGAAGGGAAGCAGTTTCGACAAGACTCCTCCTTCCTGGCCTGCATGATGCTCTAAAGGTCCTTAGGTTTCATGCACCTCCAGGCAGGACTGAATTCACCCAGGGATAAATCTGGTCCCTCGGATACTGTTTCCTGGGAGGCCGCGTAGTTAGGTAGTCAGGACCCATCAGCTCTGCCACTGACTTCCTGGGTCTCCTTAGGCAAATCATTTCTCCATCCGTAAAAGGGAGAGGTAGTGCTGATGCATCTCTGTGTAAAGCACTCAGACCTACTGCTAGTTGCTTGCTGCAATTCGAGATGGTCTTGGGAGGGACTGGGTGAGTATGTGGGTGGAACAGGCCACATTGCCCTCTGGATGGGACTGACCTGGTTGAGCATGTGTGATCATTTAGTAGCTTCCCAAATAAAGCCCTGGCTCTGTGGAAAGCCACGGGAGAGCTTCCCCTAGCATAAGCAGTAGGAGGTGGTGTGTCCAGAGCAGAGGTTCTCAATGATCTGTGTGTGCACTTTAGCTGGATGCAGCTGTCAGAGCTAAGAAGTCACGACTGGTCCGGCTGCACAAGGTGATGCTCTGAGTGTTTCTAACCTGGCCGTGCAGCAGCATCAAGCCCTCTAACTCTACCGTCCACGTGGAATGTGCCCCCTGCTCCAGCTCCCCCCTTGTCTCTGCCTGGCAGCCCCCCGGGCGTGGAACCGTGGCCTTTAAACTGTGCATCTCTGACGTGGGCCATGCATGCGAGAAAGGAAGCTTGGACTAACAGGCAGCCTGTCTAACTTGGGGTCCTGACCGGGTGCAGGGGCTTGACCAGCAGCTCAGATGTCAGAGCAGGAGTGCCACAGACTTACCCGTCCCTTGGACTTGGCGGTGCGTAGGACTAGGGTCATCCCCCATCATCAGCTGCTTGGGGTGGATGGGAAACCTGCATGTCGCGCTTTGTAACACATGCAGGCTGCAGAAGGCTGATCCCTAGCATTTGGCTCCCTGCAAGCCGGACGCTGCGGTAAAGACCCCTGGGCTTCTTGCCTTTCATCCAGCCCTTCGTCTTGCCGTGCTGTGGCATACTGATGGCCATGGATTTTATGGCACCCCCTTTGCCTTTGCTTGGCTGCTCCGTTTGAGTTGCGTACACGTGTGAGTATTGTGTGCTGTCTCCCGTGATGGCTTCGAAATGCACAAGTCTGAGGTGTCTTTGGAGCAGGGATGCCAAGCCATAGGAGGCCCCCAAGGCTGCCCGGGGCTCTTGCATGTTGGTAGCTGAAGGAAAGCCTAATGGCAGCACCAAACTATGCAGAAAGTAGCACAGTCCACGCAGCTGCCTGCCCAAGATGACTCCCTTTGCCACGAGGTGTTGTGGAGGCTGATCATTTAACCAAAGAGGGTTGGACAGATGCACCGAGGATGGGTCCCTCCATTGGTATTAAACAGGGTAGCGAGAGCTGTAACTTCTCCGTTAGGCCTGTGAATACTGGAAGCTGTAGAGGGCGAGGGAAGTCGGGATAAGCCTTGTATAAACGCCCCCTCCCTGACCATCCTCCCTCTGCCAGACGCAGAGCGAGGATGTGTGAGATGCAGGACTCCCGGCTGGACGGACCTGTGGCTCGACCCAGTCTGGCATCTCCTCTGCCTGCTTATGAGCAGCAGTGTAGGCTCCTCACCTCACCTCGCCTCCTCCCTGTTCCTCGTGCACTCCCAAAGCCCCCCGGCAATCCTGCGGAGGGAAAAACACAGGGAGGACGTTTGTGAGGGGCCCGAGTCTCCTCCGCTGGTGATGCATGGGCACGGCTCAATAGGGCTCAGCCTGAACTCCTAACCCATCCCTGTGCGTAGCGCAGGCCTAGCGTGTCACCCCGCATCTCTCGCGCCAAGCCCAGTGACTCGTGGTTGACCTAGAGCAGGGGTTGGCAGTGTGTTCGGGCAGATGCCAAAAACACCCCCAGCCTTGACTTGTAAGATGTTGGCGTGCCGGGGGCGGACGGTGGTGGGGCTGCAAGGGGCCCGATCCTTGTGGCAGCACAGCCCCGGCCCCTTCCCCATCATCTGGCCCAAGGTGCATGTGACAAGCAAATAGCCTTCGTGTGCCACGCTTGGCCCCTGTGCCGGGGGTTGCCTACCCCTGACCTAGAGGCTCCCGAGGAGCGCATCAGCTGTGGTTGTGATCTTGGACTTGTTTGACATGGAGCAGACGTGGAAGCGGGCTCTGGGCTTGTGGGAAGCATCATCACTGTTTGCCTCGAGTACTGTCCCTGTTACGTGCCCCCTCCAGGCTTGGCGGGAGGTTTACCGTGGACTCTGGAGGGCACCGGCTGGGGAGGAAGGACCAGGAGCTCCTTTTGCTTCCCCGGCCGGAGTCCGATAAGGCTCCGTCTGTGCGTCGAGCTTTACGCGCTCCCAGCCTGCCCCCAGACCTGATGCCTTTTTCTTTCTCTGCCAGGATGAAGGATGGCTGATGGGGGTGAAAGAAGCTGATTGGCTCCAGCATAAGGAACTTGACCAATGCCGGGGGGTTTTCCCAGAGAACTTCACGGAGCGCGTGCAGTGAGAGCCCGGGTACCAGCTGGTTCTTCTGCAGGAAGAAAGCAAGTTTTCTGGGAGATGGTTTAGGAGGAAAAAAAAAAAAGAATTTTAAAGGAACATAAACCTAAGAAGTGTCAACTTAATGGGTGGGTTCTTCTCAAAGGGCAAGGTTTTAGAAGTAAAATTGAATTCAAAGTGTTATTCAAATATATACTTATAATAATAATAATAAGGCAAGACAAATACCCCTTTCCCCCTTTGATTTAACAGCATTTGAATTCAGAGGGCCGATTCAGAAGCGACGCAGTGTGGTTCCAGTATGTACTGTGTTGGCTGGATTTGGGGGATGTCACTTGGGTACCTGGAAACGGCGACTATCTGTCTGCTGCCCGGAGACGGGAAGCGCCGATGACTCCCGGGTGGGTGGGTTCAGCTGGCTTGTGCTTGTGGCTCTTGGCATGGCATCCCTGACGATTCAGACTCCCCATATGTTAGGACCTTTGGTAGGCCAAACATCCCGTTATGCTGTTGAAAAGACATATTTAGTGTACAGTGTTCACCAGTATGATGTGTGTGTGTGCGTGTGTGCGTGTGTGTGTTTTATTTGCTTCCTTTGAAAACGTAACACGAACTGTGATTTTATACATTTAAAGAACAAACCACCAATGTTACCTGGGAGAGCGACACTTGGGAGGCAGTGCTCGATCCCAAACTCCCCAAGACGCGGGAGGTGGAGTATCGCAGCGATAGTTGCCTTCCTGTGAAATGTTACTTCAGGCAGATCCTCCAAATTAAGACATTAAAAAAGCTGAAACTCTGGATTGGTTGGCACAAGTTGTGAAATGGAAAAGAACCGCCCCCCCCCACCCGCCCCAAAGTAGATTCATATCTATACGGGGAGAAAGAGTGGG